GCATGTGTATGAGTGCGTGTATATCTGTATGTCAGTGCGTGTATATCTGTACGTCAGTGCGTGTATATCTGTATGTCAGTGCGTGTATATCTGTACGTCAGTGCGTGTATATCTGTATGTCAGTGCGTGTGACTGCGGTTGTGTGGTTAGTTTTCCATATTTTTTTACGGGCGAATTTTAATTAATGTTTGAATGTTCGCATGCGCACTTCCTATTCACTCACAGTCACTGGTGCCCCGAGTCTCCATTCATAGTACAAAGGGTAGGAAATGGCATAATTACTCTAACACTAAACGAGACAAACATGCTCTGCAAAGTGGGCTTTTAACAGTGGACTCTGGGGACCAATGCACAACCCTTGCATTTTTAGGTTACTTATGTATGTACATGTTTATTAATTATACTGTACCCATGCAATAGGACAATATATACATGGGTTAATAACTATGACAAAATAAGACACATCTATAGTAAAGTGCTTAGAGCAGTGGACAGTCTATGACAGTGCACACATCTCAGATCTGGTACTCCTATAAATCTATATATTGTACATTACGCACAGTCCACTGTTCAAAGCTCACTTTAAAGGACATGCATCTGTCTCAAAAGACAGAGGAATCTATCTAAAGCAGCCGTAGGGCGGCGACAAATGTGAAAAGTGAATCGTAAGTAAGATTGTATGATATTGATTTATGTGTGTTATTGATTTAAGTGTCACTGCAGAACCACGTTTTAAATGTACAAGTAGGCTATAACACAAAATGTCCGTCATGACAGAATTAGGTGGCGGCGGTAGCTTGTCCCCTTTCTCTTATTGTTACTTGTTATTAAGTCACATGGATAATATCCCCAAAAATCCTACGCCGGGCCACTGAGTCCGTGTCCATTTCTGCTTAGACCGCTTCCGCGTTTGATACGCAGCATTTCCTGTTTGCAAATGAAAGTGAAAGTATTTTAATGCTGGACTCTCCAGTTGTTAATAAACACGGATAAGATTCTGTATTGCAAGGTAAGATTTTAGTCAATAAAATATATATGTGTGCGTGTGTATGTATGTATGTATGTATGTATGTATACATATAAAAACACACCTATATATAGCGGCCGCACCCGTTGCATTAAGAATAGCTAGTAGATATTATGCATGTATGTCACTATTTACCCTTCGTGTTCATGAGGCCCCAGCATCAGTCATCTGGTCTAGATCGGCACAAAAATGGAGCGAGCTGCTTCTGAAGTGACCCCCCCTGTGGAGTGTAAAACAAAGAGAGCTGAGAGGTAAGACAGAACCTGTGTGTTTGTACTGCTTTACACACGGTCATAAAAAATGAACGTTCCAGCATTCTCGAAAGAGAGAGTAATGATCTGTCTTAATTTAATTCACTTCCTCGAGACTTAACTGCTTCAAGTCCGTGGGGTAGATGATTTATGTTTATCCTTTATGAAATTTATGAAATTTAATTTCCTTAAAGAATTGACATCTAATTGTACTCCCCGGACGCC